AGGGTGGACGAGTTGGTGCGGTTTCTTCTCCTCAAATATCGAGCGAAGCAGCCTGTCACAAAGGCAGGTGGTGACGATGTCATCGAAGGTACAGGGGCTACTTTCCTATGATCTTCAGGAAAGCCCGTGAGTTCATAGAGATTCTTTTTTGGCGATTTCCCTGAGAGAGGTGGACCCTGAGGACGTCCTACCTCTTGTAAACACATTAGAGCTCAGCTGTGAGGGGAGTGTGAGTGATGAGCAGGGCGTGCCCCAGAACCACCTCTTGTTTCTTGTTCCTGAGTATCATCTTCATGAAGGGCACCTGTGGCTCTGAGGAGATCATCTGGGATGTGCTGAGTGGAATAGGGTGTGTGCTGGGAGGGAGCCACTTTATCCTTTTGGGGACGCCCAGGGAGCTCCTCACTAAATGTTTGGGTGCAGGAACATTACCTAGAGTACCGGGAGGTGCCCAACACTGCTCCTCCACGTTACGAATTCCTGTGGGGTCCAAGAGCTCATTCAGAAATCCAGTAAGAGGAAGAGTTAGTGGAGTTTTTGGCCCATGCCTCACAATACCGGCCCGTATTTCCTTTCACGCACCCTCCGTACACAAGGGAGGCTTTGAAAGATGTGGGAAGAGAGAGCCAGGCCATAATTGACACCACCAGATGGACTCCACTGCCACAGACAGTGCAAGCTCCAGTGTCGTATCTCCCCAGGCCTCTTCTTTGAGTGAGAAGTCTGGGGCTAGCATCTCTTCCCTCCTGAGTTTGAAAGAGGGCGGTCAGTTTCCACCGTGGTGGAGGAGGCCCGGCTGAGAGCTGGGGAGAACACAGTGCTGTTTGCACTTCTGTTCCATTATGGGCGGTTTAAGGGATGTTACTGTTTTCCTTTTGGTATTTTGTCACAATGCTTTTCCTCATGAGATGCAGCGTTTAAATGCTTAAGAATCTTTAGGTTTGTACGGAGGATATTGGTCACAACGTGTTATTGGGCGTGTTTATCTGGTTTATAGGGATTTTGCGATGGTTTTATAAAAACAAAAACACACACAAACACACCACATTGGGGAAAAAACCTTGCCGCTCAAGTTTTGGTGATGTGTCACAGATTCAATGCTGATTGCTGTAGGAATTTTCTTGAAACTGTGAAAAAAAAAGAACGTCTCGTGTTAGATGACTGAACAGAAAATAAAGATTCTGTGTTGCCTCAGCGCCCTTTGAGGTTTGTGTGTTGGTGCTTGAAAAATAACGAGTACATACCTGGGTTTTGCTTCGGCCTTATGTGAGGAAGCAAAAATTAAATTGTAATAAATAAAGTGGGCCTGTGATCGTGTATTTTTTTGATGACCGATTGCATATCAGCATTGGTCTGCTATAGAATTTTTACCGTTGTGTTAGTAGTGAAGTACTATTAAAGCAAGCTTAACCCCTACCCCTAGAAAGCCCGCGTGTAGAGTGTTACTAGACAGAACGGCCCCATACTCAGGCAATGTGGGTAAGACTTTTCTCTCGAATGTAAAGAGTAAGTTTCAAAAAAGTTGGGGGTGAGACTCCAAGATGGGCAGGGGCTTTTGAGTAAGATAGGTCTGGAGCTAAGGCCAGTTTTGGGCTTTGGGGAAACTGCAGTGCTTCTGGTGGGCAGCTGATTATTATGAAGCTTGTAGGTGGCAGGGCCCAGATTTCAGGAAGGCTGAGAGGGAAAGCCTGAATGGACAAACCAACTTGCGCAGATGCTTGTGAGGAAGAAGCAAGAAGGAGTCTCCACCATCGGGGAAGTCACTGGAAGGGTGTCCTGGGCTCTGTTCACTGGGGATGGTGAACACCGCCAGAGAGGGGTGATTGATCCCCATCATCTGGCAAGGGATTCCTGCAGAAATGTGGTGAGATTCCTTGATGTGTGCTCAGAGCCTCCGGGCTGGGCCTGAGTGATCCATCCCTCCCTGGGGCTCCTCTATGATAAAGGCCCTTCGATGTGAATATTCACTTTGGATAGTGCCATTTCCATACCTAGGCTGAACATCTTCAACACACACTCAACATATTTCCACATAGGCTGCAGAGTAAAATCTGATTTTCCACATAACATATGGGTTTGTGGCATGTAATCCTAAGGTCAGATATAACGTATTTGAAATCTTCCTAATATTTGATACTTGCAGTATGATTTTAATGCGATGTATTATTTGAAACAGGGCACTGAACACAAACAGAGATGAATAAGCTTTTGTAGATTATCACATGCCAATATTTCCTTCATAAACTTTGTGGATGAGGAAAAGCTATAGACATCACATTATAAATGATCTACTAGAAGGTGATTTTCTGGAAAAAAAAAAAAAAAAAACCAAAATCTTGAAGACTGCCTAGAAGGTGACCAGGGTACTTTGGGGGACATGCCAGCTCTGATGAGAAATAAGCAATAGTTAAACATCCTTCCACTGTGTCTTGTGTGTGTACCTGCCCCACAGGAAAATCCTGGCTTGCAGTGAACCACAGGCACATGTATAGCTGTTCAGGAATGTTCCGTCCTATGCAGGGTAGCAGAGGCTCAAAGGGTAGGTTATTTACCATACACCAAAAATATGAGAGAATTCTCAGCCTAAATAAATTATATAGGTTACTAAAGGACAGTGCCAAGTGATATTGAGGGATTAATGTTGACCCTCCCTGTGAAGACTTACAGAATTGTTTTAAAACTGGATGTAATCCTGTATTTGAAACCACCAGGCACCTCGTAAGTGCAAGAAAAAGCTGGAAGATTTCAAGCCTATGCTGACATTCCCAGAAACAATTGCAAGCTATGAAGGGACTTCCTGTTATTAGTTATAATAGTTGCTTTTCATTGAGCACCGTAATAACATATGGAAGAGGCTACAAGTGCCCACCTCTGTCTTGTCTAGCTCGCCTTCCTGGCTGGTTCATTTGTAGACAGAAACCAGTGCATCATTCCCATGCTTCCATTTCTGTTCAGCAGTTGATATCTGTTGTGACGTGGAGCTACAAGGTGAAAGCAGCTTGGATTCCTGTCTGAATTGAAAGCCAGGACCCGCTGTGGGTTAGTTTCTTACACCATAACACAGAACCACAGGCTGGGTGACTTCAACGATAGAATTGTATTTTCTCATATTTCTGGAGGCTAAATATCTGAGATCAAGGTGTTGGCCAGTTTGATTTCTTCCCTGGCCTCTCCGTGGCTTGCTGATGGCCACTGTCTCACTGATTTCTTCCATGGTTGTTCCTTGGTCTGTGTGTCTGTGTCTTAATCTGCTCTTCTTATGAGGACACCAGTCATATTGAATATGATCCTAACCATAAGATCTCAATTTACATTAGTTGCCTCTTCAAAGGGTCTGTTTCCAAATACAGTGATACTCTGCAGTCCTGGAGGTTGAGACTTGGATATATGAACTTGGAAAGAGGGACACAATTCAGCCCACAACACCCTGCCAACTTAAATCAGAATTTATTTGCACAAAAATAAACTCGTGTTAAGCCATTTAACTTTCAGGGACTTTTTTCTCTTCCATCAGGTTACTGTTAATGTGACTACAGGAGTGCTCCTCTTCCTTTTCTTAGGGTCATTTCAATATTTGACTTAAAAGTAAATGGTGCGTGTATTTTTGTTGCAAAAAAATTCTAAAAGTACATAGAAATGGCATTGTTGTCTTTACAAACTTCCTCCAAGACTCAGCCTCCTACTCAGAAGTTCCCACAAGTAACAATGGGGCCGTGCAAATTGTAAATATGATTTTCGATTTTGGGCTTTCATAAAGATGGGTGTGCTATTTTATGTATACATATATATACACATATACACACACATGTGTAATGATATAATGATACACATATAGATCTGCCACTTACCTTTGCCACTATTATAAGTTCTATTGCCTCGACCACAAACTTCTACATTGAAATTAAAATGTGGCAGTCATTTCGAGATAGGATTAGTTCAAAGATAATCAAATTAAAATGAGGTTATTAATGCTGGCCTTAATGGAAGTCGCTATAAAAAGGGGATATTTTGACATAGAGATATGAGTAGAGAGATGACAATGTGAGTAGACACGGAGGGAAGACAGCTAGGTACCTGCTTCCCCTTCGCATTCCACCATGATCATAAGTTTCCTGAAGCCTCCCCCAGCTGTGTGGAACTGGGAGTCAACTCAACCTCTTTCTTTTATAAATTATTCCATCTCAGGCATTTCTTTATAGCCATGTGAAAACAGAATAATACAATGTCATACATGATTAGAGAATCACAAATTAAAACAACTAAGATACAACACTACAGACCCAGTAGAATGGCTGAAACCCAAAACACTGAACCAACAAATGTTCACACATGTGTTGAGGAACAGGAACTTTCAATCATTGTTAGTGGGACAGACCTGAAGGAATCGTGAAAGCCTTTTGCTAAGTGAAAGGAGAAAATATAAAAATGTGACATAATGTATGATTCCCATCATACGATATTCTGGAAGAGGCAAGCTGAATACACTAAACATATTAGTGGTTTCCAAGGGCTCCGGGGTTGGAATTAAGGAATGCGGGATCGATCAATAGGTGGAGTACACAGGAGATTTAGGATGGTGAAACAATTCTGTATGATACTGTAATGATGAATACTGACCATTTCACACTTATCAAAACCACAATGTTGAGTGAATCCTGATGCAAACTGTGGACTTGACTTAATAAATAGGTATCAATACAGATCCATCAGTTGTAGCAAACGTGCTATAATAATACACATTTTAAATAATAGGAGACACTGTGTGCATGTGTGTGTGTGTTTGTGTGGGTGAGGCAGAGCAGGTAGGATGGTGTAGATCTGTGGGAACTCTGTAATTTTGACGAAGTTTTCTCTCTGTATTTTTGGATTAGCAATGCTCTAAAAATGAAGCCTATTTTTTTAAAACATGCAGATAATTTGAACAAACACTTTATCAAAGAGGATATACATATTGGAAAGAGGCATGTAATGTCATTTGTCATTAGGGAGATGCAAACAAAAACCAAAGAAGTTTGCAATACACACTTATTACAATTGCTAAAATCCAACAGTCTAAAATATCAAATGTAAGAGAGGATATGGAACAACAGGAATTCTCATTTCTTGCTGGTTGTGATGAAAACTGATACAGCTGCACTTTTAAATCAGTGTTTTCTGCACCTCTTCCTATGACATGGTGAAAGCTAAAACTATAGGAACTGAAAGCAGAACGTAGTTGTCAGGGCCTTTGCAGAAGTGCAGTGACTGACCTCAAATGGGATGCACGGGAGAATTTTAGGTTGATGAAACTGGTCATTATGATACTTGGATGGTACATATGGGCCTCCATGCATTTGCCAAAATACGTATAACTTCACATAATAGTTAAATCTTATGTGTGTTTTTGAAATTTTTTTTAACTTTTACTTTCAGAGATAGAAGTGCAGGTTTGTTACACAGGTAAATTGTGTCATGAGGGTTTCTGGTACAGATTATTTTATTACCCATCTATTAAGCCAGTACTCGTTTGTTATCTTTCCTGATCCTCTCCCTCCTCCCACTCTCCACCCTCTGAAAGGCCCCAGTGTGTGTTGCTCCCCTCTGTGTGTCCATGTGTTCTTCTCTCTAGGTCCCACTTATAAGTGAGAACATGTAGTATTTGATTTTCTGTTACTGTGTTAATTTGCTTAGAATAATGGCCTCTGGCTGCATCCATGCCATGGAATGGGATTTTTTTTTTTTAAGTAGCAGCAACAAAGAACACTTCAGCCCAGTCTAGGTGAAAGAGAATGTTAAGATCACATACAGCAGTAGCAATGGA